AATAAAAAAGCAACACCACCAGTTAGACAAAATAGGTCCTGGAGTGGATGTAATTAAGCTAAGAGATGAGTTCAAATGAAATTAAAGCTACAATTACTATCTAAGAATTAACATTTCTCGGACAACCAAAATGTGATTATCATAAGCACATATAGGTAGTCCTTGACTTACGACCAAATTGAGCCCAGAATTTATGTTGCTAAGTGAGAAATTTGTTAAGTGAATTTTGTCCCATTTTACAATTTTCCTTGCCACATTTGTTAAGCGAATCATTGCCGTTGTTAAATAAGTAACACGGCTGTTAAATGAATCTGGATTCCCCATTGATTTTGCTTGTCATATGGTCGCAGGTCACATGACCCCAGGACACTGTAATTGTCATAAATATGAAACAGATGTCAAGCATCTGAATGTAAATAACATGACTATGGGGATGCCGCAATGGTCATAAGTGTGAAAAATGGTCATAAGTCACTTTTTTCAGTGCCATTGTAACTTTGAATGGTCACTAAGTGAACTGTTGTAAGTCGAGGACTACCTGTATTGTCCTTCTTTAAAGTAGTGATATGGGAGTTAACGGGGAGGAATATACACCTCTTCAGGAAATTGAATTCCATTGAATTCTTTTTAAAAAAATGAGTGAAAAATAAGAAGCACAAGGGCTAGTACGTGTCTTTTAATGCCTTCTTGTCTGGCCACTGTTTTGCAAAGAACTTGTCATTAATTCTTCACGTTTGCAGAATTACCAAATTCAAAGAAAGCATAGGCTTTATTTTAATTACTATTGTCACAAGAACTTATGTGGACCAACAAATCATTAGCTGTTGGGACTTTTGTATAATCTAATCCCATCTGTTGATGGCATGCTCTGAAATGAATTGCTAAATAATACTAACTAATGCCACTAGCAAACATTTAATAAATGAACTATTCAAAATGTTGCTAAGGTTTTAAGATGAAGTGTAATGCAATAATGAATGAGATTAGGTGGTGAAAATCAGGGCTTGTCTTCAAAACTATCCTTTTAACCTAATATATTTGTTACAATTTGTGTGGTTTAAATGAAAAAAACCCCCCCAAAATATAGAATTGCCTTGATTTTTTTGCAGAAGGGGTAGGAAGTGAATTTTATGTGATTAGCAACATAAAATGTTATGTTTTATTGCATATTAAATGAAAATGATTTATTTCTTAATCTAAGAATGGACATATGATTGTACTATACTATGTTTTTTTTCATACTAGCAAAGGTAACCTGGCCTTATAGGCCAGCTGCTGGTTGGCAAGGATGCAAAAAAGAATGTTAGTCTAGAAGTCTTTGGTCTGATCCCAAACTAAATTTACTTTTTTTTTGCCTTGGCTCAGCCGGGGTAATTTCTGACATATTTTGGTCCTGTGTTAATTCTGTGCTTAAAAATTATTCAGACAAACAATGAATTCTTAGTTTGGACTTTTGCTATGCCTTTCTACCTTCATTCATTGTGGTTTCAATTCTTAGCTAGAAGTCGAAATATGTAATCCAGTTCAGAAAGAAAATATTTCTTAAAAAAGAGACATGGCAAAATTGAATAATACCAGAATAATCATCTGGAGCTTTCTAATACAGCCATTCCTAGTCAGAATCGTTTAATCCACTTATATAAATTTGGAAAAGAAAAATTAAATGCCTTCCTAATGAAATCAATAAAAGCAAACCGACAGTGTTTTGTGAATAGGTTAGGCACAGAACAAGTACTGATAGGATGCTGTGAAGGTCGTAAATGGCGTAAATTGGCCATAAAGTTAGTTTTTCAGCACCGTTGTAACTTTGAACGGTTGCAGAATGAGCAATCAGTAAACAAAGACTACCTGTATCTCTAATTGTGATTCTGGAGCAGGCACTTTCTGCAAATTGTACAAAGGAGCTCAGTAGAGGAAAGAATTTAATAAGTGAGAAAATACTGTTAAAACAAAAAAGGTATAATCTACAATATAAGTATCACAGTTACACTATCTGAAGTGAGGCTAACTCAGGGCTGCCTCAAACATTTTGTTCCCACAATGAATGACAACCCTTCTTCCTTCTATTTCATGTTCAGAAGTGAACTGAACTGGTATTAGAACTTTATTTTAGCACTTGTAATGAAACAGCATATTTTACCATATCTGATTGCAGCAACGTAGATGGCAGGGTAACAAATTTTATTTTTCAAAATCTTGCTGTCATTTGTCATCTTTTAAGGTTTATGCCTGAAGCAGCTGCTGTACTTAGCTAATGTCAGAGCTAGATCTGAAGTAAAGGATTCCTAAATCAATCTGATCTTCTCTTTTGTTAGAGTGGCTGGTTTAGTTGATCATGAGAAAAGTAAATCTTGACTTCAGCAAAGGTGAGATCCTAGTTGAGAAAATGGTAATATATGAATTAGTCTTTGCTACTATTATATGCATACTGTGCTACCTAAACAATTGTACCCAACAAGCATATATTAATGGTTCCACATCCAGATGGTAGGAGTAATTAAATAATGTACCACAATACTTTGTTCTAGCTTCTGTACTATTCAAATAGTTATAAGTGATTTGGATAGGGGGTTACAAAATAAGATTATGAGATTTGTGGATAACAAAAAGATAAACTGTAGCAAACAAGTTAGAGGACAATATGAAGGTTCGGGAAGATCTTGGCAAGCTGGAATAATAAACAGAAACAAAAGGAAAGTCCTTCTCCAAACAGGAGGAAAAATCAAAGATATGACGGAGGACATCATGTACTGGGTAAAAATGTGCATGAAAACTATCAGGATATTTTGATGGTTCACATGCTGAACATTAGCCAACACTTGAAAAGAAAAAAAAGCAAATGCAATTCTAAGTTGCATTAACAGAGGTATGGTTTAAAGATCAAGAGAAGTAATCTTTCCTCTCTATTCTGTAGTGGTTAGACCGCATCAGTAATATAGCATCCACTTCTGGGCACTATGTTTAGGAAGCACACTGGAAAACTGGACTATGTCCAGAGGAGAGCAGCCATCATTATAACAGAAATACAAAGAACATTAGAAATTGTTGGCTATGTTTAGCCTGATAACAGACGATTGCAGGGAAACATGACAGCTGTCTTAAAGTAGCTTAAGTGCTGTCATGTAGGAGACAGTAAGCATTTCAGTTTAGTGTTGTTCCAGAAGACAAGAGAGGAAACTTTGAGTTTAATTATAAGAAAACAGTTTGGACATTAGGAAGAATTTCTTACTGATAAGGACTGTTTAACAATATAATAGATTGCTTCAGGAAGAGGTGGATTCCTTTGCTGAAGGTATATAAACAGAGGCTAGATGGCCATCTGTCAGAGATGCTATAATAATGCCCTGAACTAGATGATGTCTAAGATCCTTTTTATTTTATGATTCCAAATCAAGCACTTGCTTGAGGTCTGAAATGGAAGTATGCCACTTGTATCAAGTTTTCATTTCATAGCTTAAATCTTGTTTGCTCAGAATATGGAAAAATAAGTTTCGTGATGCCGAGTTACTGCAGCTCTAGCAAGAAGTCAGAAAAAGCACATTTTCTGACTGAACAGAAGAGCAATCTATAAGACCTAATCAGAAAAGCTAATGTGCAGAAAGGGCTGATCAGCTGTTCAATCATTAAGGCTCCCAAAGGACTTCCTGAAGTTAATGGCAAAAGAACACCATACATAATCAGCCTAAAAGTGAACAGTTTGTTGTCAATGGAAAAGACCTGCCAGTGTACATTTTAAAGATACTATTCCTATTAGCTTCTTTTCCAAGTCAAGAGATGAATAATCATCTTAATGAAAGATTAACTAGAAACTGATTGTGAAAATGAAAACATATTGGGAAACTATACATATGAGAATAATAATCTTTCTGAAATGCAAAATCTTTTAAAAACAAAACTACAACTACAGGTGTCCTCATTTACTGACCACATATACTCATTTACCAGCTGCAATAGGGATTCACAACTCATCACTAAGCAGCATGGTCATTAAGCACCAATTACAATGGCAGTTTTGTTAGCTCTGGATACAGTTAAGCAAATTACCACAGGTCGATAATCGCAACTTGACTGTGGCTTGTGATTTCCTGCTGGTTTCCTCATTGACTTTGTTTATCGGAAGCTGCCTGTGAAGTTGCCTATGGAGATCACATGACTTCAGGATACTGTGACTGTCATAAATGTGAGCCACTTGCCAAGTGCCAAATACATAACCATATGAACACAGGAACGCTGTGATGGCTGTAACTTTGAAGACCATTTTTAAGTCTTGTTTTTCAGAGTGATTATAACTTTGCCTCGTCATTGACTGAATGGTCAATAAGCAAATTTTATAAGCACCCCCATTGATATGATTTCTCCTTAGCTCCCATTGCCCTATGTCAACTAAATAAATCATCTATTCTTGGAACAACCCTTGTAGAAAGAGGTGTAGAGTAATGCTACATGCCCTCACGTATTTCTGAGAAGAAATGATAGAAGTCCTTCATTTGCTTTCAAGACCAACTGAACACAAAACTGTCTGGATCAGATAACTGTCATATTCCACAAAAATCACAGGTACCTGCTTTTAAAAAAAAAACACACCCAAGGATGCTTAAAACAGGCTAATATAAAGTAATAATACTTTGATTTTATATTGAGAAGCTTTTGAAAATTGATATTTTAGAAAACCAATTATTTCTCTTTAACCTAACTAAACCAGATGAAATTGTATTTCCCCTCTCATCAAGACATAGCTGTAAGGAAAAAAATAAGCAAAAAGTAGTATCAAAATTGATGAACACATTTTTCATAACACAGAGAGCACTGAACATTGCACATACCTTTACAATAAAAAGGACAATTTGCTTTATTCCCCCACAACGTAATCCGTAAAGCCAGCCCCCAAATGTACTTAATATTGGTCTGATAAAGCCACTTCAGAATTGCAACATCAAGATGCAGAAACACGCACAAATACACACAGAGGCATACCCCCTCCTATTAGATGATTTTCTTACCTCAGCTTTTATCTTATTGTCTCCAAAGCATAAATGTTGTAAATAAGCAGCAGCGTTAGACTGTACAGAGGGGAACTGATGCTGTAACATCTGAATAACTTCTGGTAGTTCTGGATCTCGCCATCCAAACTCTCTGTATACAAAGAAACAAGAAAAGATCCGTGGGGTTGAAATGCTGAACGGTTTAATGTATTAACAGAAAATTGTTTGGGGGTGAGGGGGAATATTACCTCTGGAATGTATATGGAAAGGTAATTACTGCCATTACCACCCCTAATTAAAAAGATAATAATTATAGAAAATAGCTTTCATTTGATTAGGTTCTTGGAGTTCTATTATTCTAAAATAATAGAAATAGAATGCACTATAGGAAGCCCTGATAAAGATTAAGAAAATAAAATACACAAAAAGCACAGCCAATATGCACAGACATGCCATCTCACTGATGTGGAACAATACCAATCCAAGGATAAGACTAGGGGGAGGGGAGAGGGGGGACAGTTTTCTCACAAGAGAAGACATTGGAGGTTAATGCCCTGAATGGTCACTTAGTGCAGTAAGAAAAGGCAGTATAAGATGCAATACAAGTAGTTTCCTATCTTCTCTTAAAGCAGTCGCGATTCCCTCAAATATGCAACCTTTAGCCCATTCTCTTCAACAGACAGGACCAATGCACTACTTTTATGAAGGCAGGAGATTCCTTTCTTTACTTCAGTTTGTTTTGTACTACCTCTGCTATTTCCAAATCAAAGCCTTCCCCTAAATAGATTCTCTTAATGTCCCAGCAAAATTATCAACATATATATGTGTACATGCATGCAGTATATATACATATATGACTATCTGTACATCTCTCTCTCTCTCTCTCTCTCTCTCTCTCTCTCTCTCTCTCTCTCTCTCTCTGTATGCATACACACACACACACAAATAGAGATATATGTACAGTATGTGTAGAGTGTATAAATATAACCATGATATTTGCTTTTATAAATAATTTCTTTTTTTTCTGCCTTCAAATCTGCCTTCTGGCAACTGCCACATATATATGTTTTGTACTAAACAACTGAATACTTCTGAAAAATGAAGAATTTAATTCTCCTTTCTTTTGGCGGGTGCATATTATAGTCCTAGGAGATAAAATTCATTACTAGGTTCATGACATGAATTTAAGTCTCTTGTATTTATGTTATGCATTTGTATCTCATGCTAAGCTAAAGACTGATCCTTAGTCACTAAACCAGAATATGCACCATACACAAGCACATATACCTATGCAATCAGTTTTATGATGTTCATTTTTATTTCAAAGGAATATATTTTACTTTATTATCGTTACCTACTATTGTTTATCTAAGGCACTTTAGCTTTGGAACAATTCTTGGAGAGATGAAGAAATAAAGATTTCTTACTGAAAAAGAATGCTTAGGAAGAAACCATCCCCCCCCCTTCTGTATAACAAAGTAACATGGTACATCTCTGAATATTTCTATTCTCTCATGTTGTCTCTGTGGTTGTTTAAATATGTGCATTTGGTCCAGATCATGTGTTTAGGAGAAAGTGAGTTTAAAATGGAGCCAATATTCTGAGTCACCTACTCAACTGCCTTTTCTGTAAAGATGCAGTAAGGATTTTTTTCTGCAATATTTGTAATCATTACAAAAATGCATATTGTCATTTTATACACAAAAGTAGCAATTGCCCATAATTCAGTGTTTGTTTAAAACTGTGTCCATCTGCCCAGTAGAAAAAAGAAAAGGTAAGCTGGATGTTGGCACCATCATGAGAGACAGCAATCCAACTATCAGGCTTTGGATAAATGCACATTTTATGATTAATAATGTCCACAGTGCTAATCATTTTATGAACAACCAGCCCATGGCAATCATTTTGTGGAACTGCTACAAGAAGCTCTCAAAATTCTAAATGGGCTAGAAAACTAAATTAAATTGACTCAAAATTAATGTAATCACCCACAAAAAGAGTTTTATTATACTTTAAGATTATACTCCAGAATATTTCATCATATACAGAAGCAAGATGTTTGGAACAAATTAATAATTGTTATAGAACACAATATGCACAATTCAAATTATCACTCATTATAGATATTTTTAAACCTTTTATCCTGTGACCTAGAATTTAAACTTGTCATAGAGCAGAAATAAAGATATGTTATTTTATTTTATATTACTCCCTGTTCCACTGATGTTCTCAATTAATAAAAATCAAGATGTCATGTAATCTGTGGCTAATGTAAAGTTAATATTTATAACATTACTTTTTAAAAGGCAGAAACAAATCTTTTCCTTCACTAACCTTTTACAGACCAGTTGAGAAACAAAAGAATTCTGACAACAGGAATAGTTTTGCAAAGATTAACTGGTAAATGAATTTTTATATGAATCAAAAAATGCAGGTGATTTTTTCAGAATGAATGGAATACTACTTATTCATTTTGGAAATGCAATTCTTATTCTATTCTATTCTATTCTATTCTATTCTATTCTATTCTATTCTATTCCTACACTACACTATTCTACTCTACTCTCAGTGGTACATATTTCTATTTGAAGTAATATATGTTTTTCTATTTATTCTTATTTTAAACAAAAATATGGAAATCCAATCAGGATTGGTACTCTCAAATGCAGGGAAAGAAAGGCTAATCTTTGTTATTTTTGTTTCATCCATGCAAGTCCATAGAGCTTGAGAAACAGAAATGCACATAGAAGACATTGTTCTGTTTATCAATCACTTCTGTACTTTATATTATTTTCTGCACCTTTCATCAGGCTTGGAAAAAAATGCTGGCATGTGTGAAAATTAACTTACAATAAGCTATGATTACAGATTCAGGAAGTTTTATTATTTTTAACCAGAATCTGAACTATGTACAGCTTAGCATTGTACATGATTTCAGTCGTTGTATGGAGGTATGTATGTATCACTGTTGGACAAATGATTTCTATTGTATTAAATTCTGAAAACAAGGCTTTATTGAATTAGTTCAGTGAAACCTTATTTTTGTATTTTTCTTTGCTTTCCTTAAGTCTCTACAACTGCATCATATTAATAATGCACTCCAGCGTGATCTACATTTACAACTGTTTTCACGATAATCCGCAACAATGCACATTTCAAAGTCTTAAAACCAAATGTACATTGATAAAAGATATATTTGACTTTACACAATATTTTTGGGGTCCCAGGCTCAAAATGAGAATCAATTTTTAAATCCCCCTACTTAAATTCAAACCTTAAAAACAGATACTTTTCTAAAAGAGCAATGCTAGACATTGCCAATTTCCCCAATATACTGTTTAGAACACTGACTGTGTGCACATGGAAATAAATGCACAACAAATGGGCATAAACCAGCTATGTAATAGAATATATCTGCTTTGCAAGATTGGCTGATAATAGTGATCAGAGTGTGTATTAATTTAAATGAGTACAGTATTAACTGGGATAAATCTGTTACATTCTCAACAGCATCTGTTAAAAGCAAGTAAATACAGCACTTGTATATTATAGGTAACAGTTGTTCTAGTTGGATCTCAAGAGTGGACTAATTCATTTCTACAAAAAAGTGTATTTTAAAAGATAAAATAATCCTAGCACTCTGCAGTGGAGAATAAACTTAATATGCCAAGTAATAATGTATTTTCAATCAATAAAGCATTGTAGTTAATGTGGGTATTTAGTCCATATTATTTCAGAAACCTAAAATAGTATAAATTCCTTTTGGCTTCCATGAAAACCAATTACATTTCTTCATTTTGCATACTTGAATATCTATAAACTTCACAGAAATGATTTAGAACTAATAGGAAGCATACATATAATGATCTGAAAATGAATGCACCCTGGTTCTTCCATTCTTCAGTCTCAAGAAAATCATATTCTTGTCCACTTCAATTTGTGTGCCATCAAGACAATAGACCCGTGGTGGCGAACTTATGGCATGCGTGCCACAGGTGGCACGCAGAGCCCTCTCTGTGGGCATGCGTGCCATCGCCCCAGTCCTTGGCCTTCAGCTGGGTTTTATAAAACCTTTTCGCTTTAGGCCTCTGCCACTGTGTGCAAAAAAAAAAGGTTCAATCAATCAATCAATTTCAACTTCTTGCGGGGGAAAAAAAGGTCTCACAAAGTTGGAATTGATTGATTGAACTTTTTAGTCCCACCCAGTCTGCCATTACCACTGCAGCCATGCCCACCCAATGGGTCACACCCACCCAATGGGCCATACCCACCTGGCACCCGACGATACATAAGTGGGTTTTGGGTTGCAGTTTGGGCACTTGGTCTCTAAAAGGTTCACCATCACTGCAATAGACACTAGGCAACTGATACTTTGGAGGCAGATCAGAATGGAGGAACAGCTGGTTAGAGAGATTTTCTCTGTTCAGATTATTAGGAAAAGCTGCTGAAGGGAGGCCAAACTAGGCCCCAATGTTTTATAATGCTATTATATTGGTGGTTTTTTTGGACCTGACTCTATTTTTATTTTATTGATATTACATTTATCTATACTAGCTTGTCAAAGGAGAATAAAAAAATAAATAAAAATTCAATCCATTAGCAAAAGAAGGTTAAAGAAATGTAATATATAGATATAAGATGGGGAATATCTGATTTGTTCATGTCTGACAACTTCAGCACCAAAGTGAATATAAGTTAAAAGGTGAAACAGATTTTGAAAAGAAGCTGATCATGTATAATACTTCTGGATTTTTCATTGGCCAGACCCCACTTTTTCATTACTTAAATTGTACTAATTTGTAATATGTTTATATTCTGCGAACCTTCACAGTTTGTCTCTACATCAAAGTAGCGTTTAAGTATTAGATCTAATTATTGGACTGTATTTTACAAAATCTTAAAAGAAACCTGAATAGGTATCATGAAAGATGAGGATGATCGAGCAACTAGACACTAAATCTTATCACGGCATAAAAGGGGAATTGGACATGTTTAGTGAGGTAGCATTTGTTTTAAAAAAATAAAATAAAAGACTCTGGAATATGTGGCAGCAATAATGCTGCATGTCTTTAAAACAATCATCTTTTTTTCAGGCTTCTACAGGAACTCTTTTCTTTCATGGTATGTCAGAGAAAATCCTAATGTTTGCCT